ACTTCTATGATGGGTTCCACCTTGAAGGCAGGTAAGTCTTTGTTTCCTACCAACCCTCTCTACTTACTTTGATATCCTTCTTCTCTATTTCGCAGATCGACGACCGTGCCTACAGATAAGTTTCTAATTGTATTTAACACTCATGAGTCTCTCTATTCTCCCTTTCAGATATGCAACCCGCAAGGATACGATGCACGGTCTCTCAGATTGGATTTGTAGCCAGATACCCTAGTGACTGCACCAGCAGCTACTAATGAACACTCGAGGTGATGAAGCTTTTATCATACCCTCCTAGTTGGAGGACGGGTCGTCGGAGGCAGTCTGGAATTGACTCACGAACCCGATCAATTGTATGCTAACCACACAGACAAAAGGGGCTGAAACGCCTGGATACCGCCACCTTACTACGGCGGGAGGAGGAATGGTGCTAACTGAGCGATGGGTGGGAGGTGGAGCTGACCTTAGCGGGATAACCCACCCTGGGTACTTGATGGCATCCCAGCTAAGGAGGTAATGGTAAATGTCCAGGACTTTGGGGCCTTTTCTGCTAGTAGGAATGAGTGGGCTGATATGTACACCGTTTTCATGCAATGTACCAAAATGGAAGTCGTTCACATGGGCGGTGACGTTTAGCTGTCCTGGGAAACTGGGGAAGGCCGAGAAAACCAAAATCTTCTGTAAATTCATCTTTAGGTGTCATCTTACATTCCTGCAAACGTCATTTATGATTTAGATTTGAACTAACTGGAGATGGTTTTGAAATAATGAGTGCTACGTAAACAAAAATGTGGGGTAAAATTGGGAGGTTATTCTTTTTAACTGCGGTGGTTATGAGCTATTCTCGGTGGTCTACTTTTAATCAATGTCGGTCCATTTTCTTGATAACTGCCCCGCTTTGTACGTTTTTCAGTGGAAGTTTGCAACTTCATACCATTTATTATGCACTTTCATGGTTTTGGTTCTCATTGCTGATTATCTATTTTCATTCGTACTTTGTTTCACCTAGTATACCAAAAGCTTTTATCACAACTACAACAAACAGGTCTGAGTGAGTGGGTGACTCGATAGATTTCATAAGTCTAGACAAATTTTGATGAAAGCGTAATAAAGAAAATATTGTAGAACCACCACCACCTGGCTCAACTCAGTGAACAATCGATCTATTTCAGGTTATTAGTCCCTCTGAAAGTAATGTATACCCACAAAGAATGCGGTGCAAATTTCCCACTAAAACAAGTGAATGATATTTTGATTGAAGATCCAAAAAGCTAACATGGGTTCCTGTTGACTCTTGCGATTATCATGTGTGTATGAATTACTACGTTAAGAAATGTTACCAACCAAGTACTCATTAAACCTTTCTTGATAGTGACGTCTATAAAGCATCTTAAAATCATCAGAACATTTAAGAAGTCAATTATTATATTATTATTTTTCCCTTGGGTTCCTAGTGGGATATGGGGCTTCAGTAGCACACCTGCATTGCACTCTGTTCTCTGCAGTCTCCTCAACCTCTCTCTATGACTGCCTACAAGCTTTCATTTCTTCCTCACATGATCTTCTGCATGTCACCCTGGCCACAGACGCCCAACTCGTCTTTTCCCCTTTGGATTCAACAGGAGTGCCTGGCGCGTGACGTCCTCAATCGGCCTTGTCGGTGTATGTCCAACCCATCTCCAATTTCTTCTGCATATTTGTTGGCCAATAGGTTCTTGGTTGGTTCGTACCCAGAGTCCCTTGTTGCCCAATCTTATTATCCTGGTCATCTGATCTTCAGTATCGAGTAAGCGTAGGCGGCAGTTGTTGATGAATATCTGTAGTTTGTTGGAAATGCTTTTCGTGACTCGCCAAGTTTCTGAACCATATAGAAGCACTGACTTGACATTGGTGTTGAAAATCCGGATCTTGTTCTTTGTGCTGAATGCAGTTGATCTCCACACTGATTTCAGATTAATGAAAGCCTGTCTTGCTTTTCCGATCCTCGCTTTGACGTCCTCATGTGTGCCGCCTGTAGTTGAAACGATGCTGCCTAGGCAGGTGTAGGTGGAAGCGACTACTTCCTTCAGATTTCTTCCGTTGATGGTAATCGGTGCTTGTTGTTGTTGTTGTCGGTTGGCTAACTTCATCATCTCCGTTCACTAGAAGTCCCATTTTCTCTGTCCTGCCTCTTCTATCAACTTGGTGGTTTTTACTTGTAGACCTTCGTTCTTGTGCGACAAGATACTAGATATAAATCATCATTGGCGAAATCCAAATCTTCTAGTTTCTTTTTATCGGGCAAACAACGTATGCCAATCTTCTTGCTTCTCACGGTTTGTTGCATGATCCGGTCCATCACAATCAAGAAGATCATGGGTGATAGTAAGCAACCTTGTTTTACTCCTTCCTATCTTCACTTCAAAGGCGTCACTGAGCTTTTCATTGTGAATCACTTGGCATGTGGCATCTTTATATAGCTGTTGAGTGAGGTTGATAAAGATTTGTGGCACTAAAACCGTACTGTTGAAGCAACTGCCAAATTACTTGTCGGTTGACGCTGTCGAAGGCCTTTTCAAAGTCGATAAAGTTGAGGTAGAGAGTTGACTGCTATTCTGTACTCTGTTCTACGATGATGCGATTTGATCCGCACATGATATGTTCTTCCCGAAGCCAGCTAGCCTGTTCCGGTCGTAATTTTGAATGCAGCGCATCCTTTACTTTCTCCAGGTGCGGCATAATAGTTTGCGTGAGGTGGACAGGAGTTAAGCATGATTCCGCGTTAATTCTTGCAGAGACTTAGGTCTCTTTTCTTTGGGAGTCTGACAAGGTAGCCCTACTTCCAGTCAGTCGGCAGGTACCTTTCCTTCCTTCCAAACCTTCTGCAGTAGTGGTGTGAGCGTGTCCGCTGTTGTCTCAGTCTGTTTTCAGTGCTTCTGCTGGAATTATATCTGGTCCTGCTACTTTGCGGGATTTCAGCAACTTGATGGCGTTCCGATTTCTGCTTTTGTCGGAGGGTTTGTGGTCACTCGTAGTTCTACCGTTGCTGGTGATATTTCCGGACGAGTTGCGGGTGATGGTCGATTCAACAGTTTTTTGAAGTGGTCAGCTTATTATTTCCTCTGTTTCTCTTCTTTGGTAACTAGCTTTCCTCCACTATCTTTCATTGGTTTCGTCTGCGTTGATCTCTTCCGAGATAGTAACCTAGTTATTTGATACAATGTTTTCAGGTATCTCCTACCAGCAGCCTGTTCCGCTTCACTTGGCAGTGTATCATAGAAGTGTCTTTTTTCTTTTCGCGCACTCTTCTTCACTTCTTTATCTAGTGTTTATACGTTGTACTCAGTTCCTCTTTTCGTTGTTCATCCTTGCACTGCACTGGTTCATCTCCTGCTTCACCATCACCATCATCCTCTCCCTGCTCTATCAACTTCCATGTGTCCGTCGAGATCCATTCCTTGTCTTGTTTCCTAACACTGTGATGCGGGTTTCTTTCCACATAGCTTTCAAAGAGTTCGAGTATCCATCTACACAGGTTTCTTCAGGGATGATGCTCAATATCTCTCATTTTGTTCTGATGGCTGACGTGAAGATTTCCTTTGTAGTTTCATCCTTCAGTTTCCGGGTGTTGAACTTGAACTGTCAATCATCAACTTCCTTGAAGGCTTTCAACTTGATTTTGAAGGTGGGTTCCTTGCACTAGATAGTGAGTGGTGTGAACCTACATCCACTCCCCTTCTTCATTTAATCTTGTGTCAAGTAGGCTGACTGCGTCTCCGCTTTTTTCACATTGAGATGAAGTCGATCTGATGTTCAGTGTGTCCTGATGTCTGGTAAAGTGCATGTCGCTTGTGAATATCCTCGTATTTGTACACACTGCCTCCAATCACCAAATCGTTAAATGCACAGAAATCTGCAAACACTTCTCCGTTCTCATTCATTTCATCGAGTGCTTCTCGACTCCTGATGAGTTCTGTTCCTGCGTTGTCTGCTCCCAGTTTGGCATTCATGTCACCCAACCCATTAGTATTTTGATGTCACTAACTGGAGTCTTGTCTAGTACTGATTCCAGTTGTCTGTAGAATTCCTCCTTCTTCTCTTCAGCTGCATTATTTGTAGGTGCACAGTGTAGCGTTGATTGATTGTGACTTTCCTTCCTTTTCAGTTGAGTCTTGCTGTCATGATCCTGGGGGAGACTGTTTCCCACTGCACGAGAGCCTTCGATAGTCTTGGAGACACCATGATAGCCACTCGAAACTCAGTGTGCTCGTGGTTATCGTCTTGATGACAATATCGGAGTAGATTATTGACTGTCCAGTTGACAGTTTGGAGAGTCCACTTTCATTCCATCCACTGATTCCTAGCACTTCCATGCCATACCTCCTCATCTCTTTTGCGATCTGGGCAGTCTTGGTAGTTTCATACATGGAGCGGACATTCCATGTCGCCATCCTTACTTTTGCTTTCCTTGAGAGAGAGAGAAGATACATCGACCGACAGGGTTCCCGAAAGCTTTTACCAACTAGAGTCATTTCATCTCCCCGATTCCAACGGGGAATAAGTTATTTTTTATTTTTTATACTTTCTTTGTACTCAGAAGTTTCTTTAGAGATTGGAATAGTTTTCCGGAGTAGGGTTGCTAGCTCTACGCCGAACCTTTGCTCTTTACTTGGGCTTAGGACCGGCTAGTAACCGGTGAACTAATTAACCAGAAATATGCAACTATAATCTCTGAAACCCAGTTAAAAAGCGGTATCATATATATTTATCTTTTCCTTAATCGCCTACAGTGCATGCGTAATATATGATAATTATCCATTTCATTCTGATATGTGTACGAGAATCCGAGTGGTCAGTTTTGCAGCAGAAATGCCTAAATTTTGTCTATAACGACACGTGATTGGTTGGCATTAAGTTTTGATAGCTAGTTTCCAATTGGATAATTTCATGAACCAATTAAATACGACGTAGACGAAAACTGAATAGTACTGAATTAGAAGTACCGTCAATTTCGTTTTTCTTTTATGGATGAAATATATGATAGTGACGACAGTTGTTCATTTTCTCCTACAATTAACAATGATCATAATCAAATACAAAAGAGTAATGATCACATCTTATTTCCATTAATTAACTCTGAATTATCATCAGATGATCGAAAGAAAAATGATTTGTTATGGCGATTAACAACACAGCCATCATCATCTTCAACAATAACAACACTGGCTACAACTTGTGCCGCAGCAACAATAGCAATATCACATTCATTAACACGCTTAAATCATAATCTACACTATTCAAATTCACATTCTAGAAATGGGTCAAGACACCATTATCACCAGTCACATCACCATCATCAAAGAAATGCTCGCCTAAGTATTAATGCTAGAGAAAGACGACGAATGCATGATTTAAATGATGCTTTAGATGATTTACGCAGTGTTATCCCCTATGCTCATAGTCCATCTGTAAGGAAATTATCTAAAATTGCTACATTATTACTGGCAAAAAATTATATTCTTATGCAAGCAAATGCTATTGATGAATTATACAAATTAATTATGTATCTTAATTCACAAATCCAAAAACCAGATTCATCACTACTGAACAATGATTATAAAAGTATTACATCAGGTATGATGAATGCTACTTGTCACAGTCATGGTGGGGATAGTAGCAATAATAGTGATAATAGCAACAATCATAATAAGCAATTTACAGTTGATGTTGTCTCCACGTCTCATTCTACTCATCTACCTCACTGTTCAGTGACTTACTTATCGAAAGAGATGAACAGTTAGAAAAAAAACACATTTTTGTCAATTTAAACTTCTTTTTCTTCAAACTGAACATAATTTGAATCTTTTTCGAGTTTTAGCTCTGCTAGTGGTTACATTTATTTTTAACTAATCGCCAAATTCAATAAAGTCTTGTGTTCAATAGTAATTTGGTGAAATGTTTCCCGTCAAAATAAAAATCAACACTTTTTTTCAAATTGACAACCATTGATCATTGAACTTGGATAGATTCGAATAAGGTATTCTTTCTAAAAACAAAAGCTGTTGTTTCAGTTGCTTTTAGAAACATTCCATTTGTGTATGGCTACAAAGGCAGCTGCCTACACACAATAGTAGTAATAATTTGTAAATGTGTTCTCAGTTAATTTACTCTTTTTATTATGGATCTCCCTTAATCAGATCCTGTTTATATAGTGAAATGTGTATATTGCCTGCATTCAAATGAATATAACCTGGATGATAAAATATGTGAAATGAATGGTACTGCTGTGTGATTTTTTTTGTTAAAACACTCAATTCATTCTAATAAAAGTCTATATTTCTCGTATTTTATCTTCTATCTTTTGAGTGAGATAAGTATTTTAGAAAATTTCGAGAAAATCAGTAATTTGAACTCAGGTTCTACTATCTGTTCAATAAAGGTTTAGTTTACTGCTTAAGATAACTGTTTCCAAGTAGTCGTTAGCGTGTTCGAACTCTGTTCAACGAAGGAGAGTTTAGGCATTCATTTATTACCATACCACTAAACCTCGAAATATAGATGTATCTTGTGATCTGTTTCTTGAAAAGGCATATATGTAAGCCGAAAAATATTGATATTCAGTTTTGGATAATACTAGTTTGATATGTAGAGACTACTTAAGGTTTTATATCACTATAGTACAATGATAGTTATTTCGAAATTATTCCGTGACATGGATGGATGAGTCTAAAAGTCATCTCTAGGTGTTATCATGCTTGTAACAGGTTATAACTTTCTGTATGAAAATGCATATTTTCTGTGTTCTATCTGCACAATTTATCTATTTACATAGTTTTTAAAATGACGTATATCACTGAATCTTGTTCCATAGAGTTTATTTCCTCGAGATGAATTGTAAAATTTGGTAGCCAAGTGTTTAGATATCAAATTCCCACTAGTTCTTTTAATTATTCAAATCCTATTCTATTTACTTCAATTTTAGCTTAATTGTATGTCAGTGTGCACTCCATTCACTCAAAATAAACTTGTAAAATCTATTGCAAAAATACTGGAGATAAAAGGAAGTACTCATTTTTATTTGATTATATCAATTTTTCATTGCATATTTCCTTAAAACATGTACTTACTTCAAACCAATCCATTTTTATATTCCAACTTCTTCCAAAATTGTATATCATATATCATTCATAAGTTTTCTTTTCATACATTACGAAGAAGTATATCTATTGCTCTCACTACCATTACACAACCTGTCATATACATTTGGAAATCCTTTTCTAACTTTCTGAAGTTGGTTTCTTTTCCACTTTTGCTTTTACATAGCATTGCCTTCTTCCCATTAAACGATCCGTTTTACCACTGCGTTGTCCACCCTGTATAACTTTATTCAGAAGTCTGCACAAATATCCTTTGTGACAATATCGCATTACCATTGAAATCAATTTGTTTCGTGGTGAATGTTGGCTAAGACAATTATTTACAACTTTTCAAACGTGGTAGTCGTTTTTTTTATGTAACACATGAAAATACTGGTACTAAATTTCCTTTGGACACAGTAGTTCAGGTAAGCATTCGTTCTCCTAATGACTTTGAATGTGGATATCCCAATACAGATTTATCTCTCGAAGTCGTTGATAAGTCCAATACTTTAGGACTAAAACCGTAACACTAAATTTCCACCTTTATGTCTAAGGTTGACTTCACCCTTGATTGTTACTCAGTTCCTTTGAAATAGAAACAGCGAAAACGATAACAGGTTTATTGACAATTCAAACATGTACAAAAAAATGACGGTTTATGGACGTTATCAACAGCCTTGCTACATTCTACACTCTTCTAGGAATTCTATTAGCCAGTCTGAAAATCACACCTATCGCGTGGTTTTGGCGAATGTTTAGCATGTCATACTTAGCTGTGAAAGCTTTTCTAGAAATTCCAGGTTTCTTTGAAGAATCTAGAGGATAATGTCACAATCCATAACGCCCGCTTTAAAAGTATAACCCATAAGTAGGAGTGTTGCTTTGAATTTACTTGACTCTTCTGGACAGGTTACCTGAAGAGGGTCTTTAATATTGTGATGGGTTCGGACAAACAGTAATGGTAGGAAAGATACCCACGCCAATATCGAACATCAAGACTTTTATCCATAGGTAACAATACTGGACTTATGAACTAACAAACGGCCTTCAGAGGTACGGCAGGTTGGAACTTTGACGTTCAAAATTGTTAGGAGAAGGGGTGTTCACCTGAGATTTTGTGTCCACTAACGGAATGATTCGAATAATAACGTTTAAATTGTTGGGGAAGTCACTAGCTCAGTATGTATAAATCGAAGAGTAACTTTCATACCCGCCTCTCTATCTTTCTAGTTGATGTCCTTACTGTCTGTTCTGCTGAAATGTAATTATCGACAAATAGACGTAAGTCATGTTGTCGTAGATTACATCAAAAGCGTAACCCCCAGTGTTTGTATCTGCTTCACACTTTGATTAGTAAAGACTTTATATTGCAAAGTCAAGCTTCGAAAAAAGGCGTAACCTTGCTAATTATCGGTCTTCTCTTATCTCGTGGTCTCCACCAATCCATATAGTTCTGAAGTCCTTACATTAGGCGGTCCCAGACTGACATGTCTTATGTCATAACCATGGTTTTCGTGGTAACATAGCCAACGTCACTGTTTTCTCGAAATCAGACCTTCTTAGACCTTCCTATCGTATTCTTATTCATAGTAAGGAAACCCCGAAAACAACAGTTAACACTCCTTTTGATTTATACAATTTTTCACGAACCCCTTTTGGTTTTATCAGTCCTGTCTAACCATTTGAAGCAATTAATCCCCAAGGTAAATTTATATATGTCAGTGAGAAGACGGAGATTATGTGAAAAATCGATCACATCGTCCATACATTCGCCTTTTGTTTATGCATAAATCGCTGACTTATTTGTTGCTAGCTTATATGAAACGCATGAGTCATCTGCTAACCATTTTCGAAAGAATTGACAAATATGGGATGACGATTAACCTTCGTAAATGTGAATTTGCGTAAAGGTCGCTGTAGTACCAAGAAAATCTAGCTGGTAACCAAGGCTTAGAACAGGTTTTACACGGAAGTAAAATATAAAATACCTCTCAGTCGCTTGGATTATTAGGTGGTTTTAAAAGTTATTAGCTTTTTATCGTTGCTTCACTGCTATGTAGCCATTAACCAACTGTTAACACAGACACCGACGTTCACTCCACTTCCCATTGGACATTATTTACTTACTCGAGATAGTCAAACACTTTCGGTTAGATGACAATTAAGAGTTTCTGCGATAATTAAGAACGATACCTAAAATTTTGTTATTCAGGTAGTTTCACAGGCAATGAGTACATAGTACCCGTCAACCTTTTGGATTTCTTTCCGTAACGATTGAACCCAACGTATTGGCAGTAGAGCCCTGTAATGAGAAAGTTGTTGGTCGTTTATTAAGCCATTAGGCTGGTTTGTTGTTATCCCACTATCAGAAATCTTAGCTAAAACGAATGCCAAGTTTTCAGTAAACAAACGAATATCCAACTTTGTTGTTCCTAAAGTCACCACTCTTGATTGGGAAGCACTATCTGAAAGTTGCTTGTTGTAACAGTATAATAACTTGTTCAAATTTAAGCGCATATGCATGACACAAAGCATCCTATTTTTTAAAGATATGGTAGGACACTTGCCGAGACAATTCATAGTGGCACTTTCTGCAGCTTTGACAAACAATAACTGGTTGATTAAATTTCAACTTGTCCAGTATGGAATTACAGTCATGTTAAAAAGTGATATTGGTTGCTTCATCTCAGAGTTGATCTATGGGACGACATAATGATTACCTAGAGAAGTTATCCCCACAGATAGCCAAGTTCTACTTGATGTGGCTAACTATGTGGTGGCACTAGAGAAACATATGAGCGAGTTAAAAATGTCACTTTCATCGGAACTACAAAAGCCATTACATCCTACCCAAGCTAATTGATGGGACTCACAGTTTGTCAGATCGGTTAGGTGTCCAATGACCACTACAACCAGCTAGTGATGCAATTCATTTTTGTTTTTACATTTCAGTGGAGCTTCACTCTTTAGAACCTTGCCTAGCACTGATTGGTAACTGAGATATAAGAGTTTGGAAGTCTGCAGTCTACAAGCACGTCGTTTTCTGCACCATCATGAATTTCTCAGTTCTAATTTGAGTTCCATTGACTTTCTAATAGTATTGTAACGCAAGGTTTACCAGTGATTACATCGACGTTAATGCTATGATTATTTTGAACTGAATTTATGTTAAGAGAAGGAAGCGGATGGAAATGGTTGACTGCATTCACCAGGTCTTTATTAAACTATCTCGAAAGGTTCAATCTAGGGTACGGTGTTTGATTTAAAAAGCAAACAGTTTATGTTATAAAATGATATGCCTGTCAGATGTAAGTTATTAAATGTCAGTAAATGGGAACTCTCTGTACTTGATCCATATTTCGTGGTTTTTCAAATCCATTCACCGGATTTGTTTGCAGTCTCGTGAGAATTCATACTCTTTTCGAATCTGAATTGTATGAAGTTACGGTTAAATAATCTTGTTGTTCATTTGTTTAGGTAACTGACTATCAGTCACTGGTTCGCTAATATAAATAAACTTCATTTGATTCAGCCTAAGCAACAAGGTAGCGTCATAACTCCTTACATATTAGATATGTTTTCTGGTCTAGTACACATTATAGTAAATGATTGTTCAATGGCCATGTATGTGACTTAGTAAACGAAATCCCAAACAAACCTCG